ATAATTTTTTGCCATTGTTCTTTTTTCAAGATTTAGAGAAGGCTACCATTTCTGTTAAGAGCTAATAACTAACATGTTCAAGAATCAGAAAGTTCCATGTATGCCACCCAAAGTCTTACGTCTTTTTCTGCCTTGTCTCAATGTCAGGACCAAATAGGATTTACAGTGCTAAAAGCAATCATGGAAAGCAAAAATATGAGATTATCATACATTAGATTAATGATGCCTATTAAAAAGGATCTAAGAGGACTGTGAAGGAGTATAAGCACGAAAGAGGAGAGCAGAGAATGGATGTTGCCTATGCTTTCCTTGCTTTGTCAGACTCAACTCTGTGGCCATAAATATTAGTTATCTTATGTTTAGAGTCATTTCTAGAGAACTTGAGAGCCTTGTGACTGGTGTAGCTGTTAGTTTTTTCTTGGGTCTCCTAGACAGAAAAAACTGTAAGTTGATAACCTGGAATAACCACAGAATAAGGTTTTCACAAGTACAGCATTGGAGTCTGTGAGGTTTCTTTAAAAGTACTAGGTTGTTCTTTATGCCTGAAATAATAGGTACGAGCTTAGTCATTTCCACAGTTCATCAACTGGTCAGCATGTTTTAGTGTACTCATTAGTTTGGGGACTCTTGATTTCAATGCCATATCATTCCCACTATTTAAAGATGTACCTTTTTTTCATTCTAATGAAAATACTCTCATTTAATAAGGTCTCTCTTTGGAAGTGGTTCATTCTTGCTAGATCTTGATTTATTTTTCCTGTGAATGGGCATGTGTTTTATGAATTTGTGGGCATACATATAGAAGCTGAAAGTTGTTGTTGTAAAATTGAACCTAGTTTTACAAGTTTTTCTGCCAAGTTCAATGACAAAGATTGATGTGAGGAAATCAAGCAGCCTTTGACAACTCCATTACCGCTGGCCCATCTGCAGTCAGACATTAATGGGATCTTGGAATCTCTTCTCTCTTTGTGTACTTTGCAAAATGATCCTATTTGTCTTGATATTTCTGTTAGTGCCTCCCTCTGACCCTTTAAAATATTTGTAGTGTCAAATCTGCCAGGCCTGATGTTCTCCATGAGTGAGATGCACAGACGCTGGCACATGGCAGAACACGAGGCTGCTGTTGATGCTTTTTTGATAGTCAGGTTTGGAGGGAGCAAAGGTAAGAGAATAGATGAGAAGAAAAGTGCTTAAAAATGACTATCTATTTATACATGACTCCTGGTGGTGTCAGCAATCATCAGGAGAGGCCTTCACTTGGGATAGCAGATACACCTGGAGTAACTGAGGCCAACAGTAATTTTTTGATGACTGATGCTATTTCATAATGCACTTACCCTTGAAGATTCCATAGAGGTGTTGATGAAATTCATTCTAAATGCCAAATTGTTGTCATTACAAAACATTTTTTTACAGCCATAGCTATTATGCTCTAACATTACAAGGTAGCAGTATTTCCGCTTGTCTTCTGTAGAGGCTGAGAGCAGGAGATTCTCAGACCAAGGGTTCTGGAGCAAGCTGCAGCCCAATAATTCAGGAGCCTTTCCTCTGCTTTCCCATCCCTGACACTAACTACCTCTGCCATGCTGGAACATAGCTCAGACTAATGCCCTCTGTGGCATTTCAGTCTGATCTGCTTTCTGCATTGTAAATAATACATACTTCTTTCATTGGGAGACAGCATAATTTCTCCCAGTCTGATTTCCAGAATACTACTGGCCTTAACTTTCATTCAGTTGTCCTAATCTTGACTCTGCTAACATGTGGTTTTAAGAAAATTGTATTAGCTAAGGCTAGTTTTCTGAAAGCATTCAGTTTTGATATAGAATTAAAAACAGGTGAAAATTCCAGATCTTTTGCCTTTTTTTATACTCATTATTTTTCATTTCTTTTTATTTCAATTTTTTTTTAAATTCTAGCTTTTGACTTCCATTTGCCTTTTCTTGCTGCATTAAACAGCTTTGTGCAAACCAGTATTTTCCCTTATTTAAAGTATTTGCACACTGTAATCAAACTGCCTTTCTGTCTTCTTTCTCCGATTGAACAGATTGAGATCTTTGTTTTTCAGTGTAACACACTGTCTCCAAACCCAAACTAATTTGTCTGGCTGCTTTTTACAAATCCTTTCATTTTTCAGCAACATCTAAGAAATGAGGATGCCAGAACTAGTTGCAGTATTCTTGTATGGGTTTCACAAAACCTATATACAAAGGTAAAATTATTTTCTAGATCCTAAAATGACTTTCTGGATCACTACTCCTTTGTTTTCTAAAAGACCATCAACTTGGAACTCATTCCTACAGCTTTATAAAATTGCACTTGAGAATGATAGATTTTTATTTATGCAAAATGCTGTTTTAAGGTAATCAAAACTCCATGAGCTTAGATCAAATTTAGCAGCTGGATTCAGCCTAAAGGAGCAGTAAAATGTTTCAAGAGGCTATAAATTTCATTTTGACTCTTTGTTGTTCAATAGAAAATGTTTTGATTCCTCATTGGAAAATGTCTTGTGTTTTTTAAAGTATAGAAAGAAATGATTTTGAAGTGTTTCTCTTGAACCATGTTTTTCTTTTAATGTTGTTTCCACGCATTTTCCTACACATACATTTCATGTCCAACACCAGACAGCACAAAACTAAAACAGGCTGCAACTTTTTTCAGCTCTGCCAACCTAAATCAAGTAGGTGAGAAAATTAACTGCACAAATTGAGTATTGATGCAGGCTCAAGAGGAACTTTGCAGCATGCTAGAACCACTGAAGCTCTTAACACGTGATGCAAGGGCTCCATAGAAAAAATGCACCAAATTCCTATTGGAACACTTGTGAGATGTGGCTAAAATATAATAGTAAGGAAAATATTCTGACTTGTTTCCAGGACTAAACAGACAAAATGTTGTCAAAACAGTTGTAAATAAAACACTGCAAAAGATATTCAGGAAGCAGTCCAACTTCTAACTTGCTATTGCATCTATTCCTCTCATAGAGATGAAAGTCTAAAAACCAACAACTCAAACCAATACATGCATTGACTTTCTTAGAAGATTGTTATTATAATATATAATAATGTTAATACATAATATTATTAATATATAATAATATAACTATAATATAATATAATATATTAACATAACAATAATTATAATAACATTCGCATGGGTAGGACATGCAGCAGCAGCATTGCTGTTGCAGGTAGTGAAGGAATTAAGACTTTGAATAGCTGAGGTTGAATTTCTTTGCTTTGTGAAGATAGGTATGTGCATTAAATAGGTGATTAACAGATCTAATAAGAACATGGGTTTTTTATTATAGATCTTTATCTGCCATTCTTGTGATACTGGTAGAAGAAACTTTGTAGGCAAGGTGGAAGAGGAAAAAGTCAATGCTGGAGATCTAACTTTCTTTTCTACCTGCTTCCCTTTACTACCCCATTTCATCTTGGAGGGATTTCTCCTTTTCACCTTGTCACATTGCACGGTGGTTAGTTTTCAGGACCAGGAGAGACTTGCAGAGAGGATAAAATAATAATTATCTTAAAAGAATATTTAATTAGTGCTGTGTACGTATTTTTCCTACTTCAAATCTTTACTCGTGTGAACTATTTATGTTCATTACTGATAATGAACTTCAATATAACATCAATATAATATCAAAATATAAATTTTGATAACTTCAAAATTTAGCCCGTCTTTTGAAAACTGTTTTATAGACAGGTGGCCGTGATGAAGGTGGTGTTCCTCTGGAACAGTGCAAAGTGGTAAAAAGACAGCCACTGCCTTTAGACTTCTTACAATTCTTTTGTTCTAATGTAGCTTACATGTGCCAACAGGCACATCATGACATACAACTACCTGAAACTGCCACACAGTACACTGGAGACAGGTGATGTTCCACTTGCTAGCACTGAGGAGAGATAAGGACTTGGCAAAGCTGAGAGTCACTGGTCTCACTGGCTGTGAGGAACAGACAAATGTGTACTTTGTGCTGATTTAAGGCAGAGGGTCTTGGGGACTTTCTTCTCTCGAGTTTCATCCTCCTTACTTTTAAGGTCCGTTGGTAACATTCATTCGATTTGTTTGACTGTGCCTTTGAGTCCAGTGGAAGCACTGAAAGCCCAGAATATTCAGCTTTCCAATACTTAATGGGTACAGCAAATACTCAGTTTACTGAAACAGCTTTCTACCCCTGTGTAATACTGTCCTTCTCCTCCGTACCTCATTGCATAGATTAGCACCTATTGAAGAAAGATAGCCACAGACCTAGTAATGCAAGCATTCTAGGTGGATCACCCAGGATATTGCAACAAATGTAGGGTTATAGGGTATATATAAGGTATATAGGGTATATATAAGATATATAGCGTATATATAAGGTAAGGTTAACAGCATAGCTAGAGGTTATTCTGTAAGTTTAACAAGCAAATTCAACACTCGTTTATGTTAACTGATTAACAATAATATAATGATGAATTCATTAAGATGTGTTGTAATATGCTGTTTAAAATGAAAATGCTCTGTGTCTATTATGAGCTAATTTATTACATTCTTAGAGAACTTGTGCAAAATTAATGTTGTATCATTCTTTAGTATTAGTATCAAGGAATATTAGTTTTAATGAACAAAGATAATGAAAGAAAGGAGGAAAATGCAGGAGGAAATAACTAAGCCAATGAGTTTTAAAATTCATCACTTTTTAGTGTCATGTGAATGAATAAATAAGTTGCAGAGTAGATTACTGTGCTTCTCCAGGAGTTAAAGTCACAACAAACACTAAGGCTGAATTAAAAATTTCCACAGACCCATCCTGAAGCCTCAAAGAGGCAGCTGCCAGAAAAGGCAGAATAATAGAGCTAATTGAACCTTCCTGGGCCTTATCCTTCCTGAACTAACTGGAAGGTGATGTTTGCCCATATGGTGGATCTAGCTCAGATCTGTTTCCCTGGTGACCAGTCTTCACCAACGTAAGCCGTGATCAAATGAATGTATAGCAGAGTGCAGGCACACATCTGTATCAGTATCTCTTTTATTACCAAGGCAGCTAACTAGCTCTGTCTTATAGACAAGCAGAGCTAATTTCAGTAGAGGGGCCCATAATCATCTTCTGGAGGGTCCCTTTGATTTCTGGAGGCATTCTTGTGTTAAATCCAGGTGTCCATGTAGGCTCCAAAAGTAACTAGGCTTTCTTTATTTCCTTGCCTAAGAAAAGCACAAAAAGGAAGACAGCAGAGTATGCCCATGCAATTCATATGTTAAGCAGCAATAAATTATTCACTTCTTCACTCTGGCAGAATTTTCTGTTGCTAAGCCTGACATCTGGTGTGCTGTATGTTTTGTGAAAGGGAGTTGGGAGAGGTAAGAGGATGCTTTTATTCTAAATCAAGGTGTGTGGATGTTGTTAGGTCTGATTATAAACAGACTTTTATCTCCTGCTCCAATCAATTAACAGTTGATGTCTGCTGTGCTGTAAATGCCATGAAGCAGTAGATTTTTTAGCAATACTTAGGTACACTTAGTCATTAGTACACGCAGCACTGATTTTCCTCAAGACATCCTCATTTCCCAGAGAGGTTCTTTTTCCTATTGTGCTTAGTTATGTCTGCTCTCAAGCAGAGGTTCAGATCTTTTACTGATACAGTGATACAGCTGTTCTGAAGTTAATGGAGCAATGCTGAGCCACACCAGTTGAAGATTTGGCCAGTGGGAAACTTGTTGTTCCGGAGCTCTCTGAAAGGGAAAGATAAACTGGAGAACTCCAGGAAAGGAGGATTTGAAAAAAACAGTTATAATAATTTGCTCTACAATACCAATCATCACGCCATGTAAAAGAAAAAAAAAAAAAAAAAAAGAAATAAATCTCTGAAATAAATCTTCTTTTCTTTGTCCCCTGTGGCATTATCTTTGCCTAATCAATTGTGACCTAAGTCTCTCTGTGAACAAAAGTTGCACACTTTGAAACTCACTTCTTAATGCAAATCAGCTTGCTTGTTTTCAGCTTCATAATCCTTTCCACAGCAACAGCCTATCAGGATGTCACAGACAGAAAATGATGACTTTTGATGAGTAACAAGCAGCAGGGACAAATGAATCCTTCAGGAAGGGGAGAAAAAGAAAATCTTCTTTAGATTAGATCTAACAAAAAGAGCTGAATTCATCAAGCATGTAATTTAAATCCAGTGATGATGTTTGCAAAGTTAACTTGGTCTTCAACTCCCTTTACATACTCTCTGTGCATGATGCAGCATAACTTCCTAATCTGCTGGCTCCCCATCAGCGCAGCAGCTGACAGCGAGAGTCCTGGAATTTGTCCCAAAAGAACATGAAAATCTGGCAAAACATTCCTGATGAATGAAACCAATGAAACAAAAGAGAAATGTTTCTATGGGGAGAATTAGGTGGAGTTTTAATATCTGTTTACCATGCTGAAGATTTTTACTTGCTATCACCTATGTATGGGAGGATTTTGCCTCTTCTGTCAGAGTTGTCTTCCACCTACTGTTTATTCAGATTGTGTTTTTATAGTTAAGAGTGGCATAACTACCAACTAACAGATATTTCTTGCTGCAGGGATTTTGTGACTCTGGGGGAATTGTTGACTGACTTAGAAATTTGTCTTGCTTTTGGTTAGGGGTTATGCTTTTTGAAAGACTTTATACAGAAATACTGGGGAACTAGAGTCCTGAGCCCTCCCTGAAGCAGTGAGTGCTAATGATTAGCCTAGGCTTCCCCTGCAAATGGCACTTCAGTGATTTCTAAAATTAATATGTTGCCACTACTAAAATCTGAATGTTCATTTGCCTTAGGGGTGCACAGAATATAGCACAGTCCCAGATGCCCTACCACAGAAAGGCAGATGCATATGGTTTTAACAGAATCCTTGCTGGTTTTAGGTCTTCGAAGATCTCTGCATACTTGAACATGGCATTAGTCATAGCAGCCCAGAAGAGGTACCAATTAAAGATGCTGCTTCAAAAAGAAGTAGGGAAGAAATAGAACTGAAATTCAGTCTTTCCCTCTTGCATCCCCCATTATTTCCCTGTGGCAGGAGTAATTCATGCTTTCCTGAGGAGATAATGTATTTTGGTGAAACTATGTGCTTGAGTGGGTCTTTGCAATGGAAGAAGCATGATTTCGTCCCTTGCTCTTTTAGCTTTTCATGTCACCTTTACCACATCCATTTTAGCCTCAGGAATGAATGAAGCCTATTTTATTTTCTCTGGCAATCTAAAGCAGACATACTGACGGCAATCCCAAATAGGGTTCTCTTGTCTTTGGGAATTGTTATTATCTGTCTTGAGAAGCTGATCATTGGTTGTTCTGTATCTGTTCACGTAGTGGTATGCACCATCTTACTTAGTTAAAATTTAAAAACTTTGTTAATTTGATAACTGCATATGGAGCTGGTCCACAGGTGTCCAAGGCTTGGAACAGAAAGAAGGGAAGAAATCTCGTCTTTGAACATCAACATGCAGTTTATGTCATTTGGCAGAGTCTGAAGTGCTTTTCAAATTAGAAATCTACTTTGGCTTCATTCAGGCATCTTCACCAGATTAAGCATACCATCCTGGCCTGCCTGCCATTTTGACATACTTCACTGTTAACATTTTTCATAAAAGTTTTAACTGATAGAAATGGGGAAAGAGGTGCTATCCACAGATAAGCTAATGATTTAAGCAGATTTGGTGGAATATGCTGATACTGGATGGAAAAACTAATGCAGTTATAAGTGACATCTCTGAAGAGAGAGGTACTTAGGTAGTCAATGTACTGCAAAAACAATATAAAATGATGTGTTTTAGTACTAATGGCATTGAATAAGAATGGCTTTTGTAGAAGAGTCAAAAATCAGACATGACTAAATGAAATGCTGGATAAGTTTTGGAATCACATATAACGCAAAAATAATGCCTAACTAGCTTGTATTTTATTCTAAGATACTCCTTTGGATGTCCCTTGGAAATAGCTGCACTATCAAATGAAGCTGTGACTCCTCTTTGTTTAGCCCTGTGGAACACTGTCAGCACCACTGGTGTGCCTGCTGAGCTGTCTCACTGCCCCCTTTGAGTCATAGAATCATTAAGGCTGGAAAGACCACTAAGATAATCTACCCAAAACATCAATCCATTGCCACCATACCTAAATCATGTAACTCAGTGAGGCATCTACCTTTTTCTTGAAAACTTCCAGGGATGGTGACTCCACCATCTCCCTGGGCAGCTTGTTCCAATACCTCACTACCCTTTCTGAGAATATTTTTTTCCTAAAATCCAATCTGCACCTCCCTTGGTGCAACTTGAGGCCATTACCTCCAGTCGCTAGTTACCTGGGAAAAGAAAACGACCCTCACCTCTCAACAACCTCTTTTCAGGCAGTTGTAGAGAGCAATAAGGTCTCCCTTGAGTTTCTTCTTCTCCACTCTAAACAATCCCAGTTCCCTCAGCCACTTCTCATAACACTTGTGCTCCAGATCCTTCATCAACTTGTTTGACCTTCTCTGGACATACTCCAGGGCCTCAATGTTTTCCTTGTAGTAGAGGTCCCAAACTGAACACAGTACTCTAGGTGCAGCTTCACCAGAGCTGAGTACAGACAAGTGATCACCTCCCTGATCCTGCTAGCTACATTACTTCTGGTAAAAGGTAGGATGCCATTGGCCTTCTTGGCCATCTGGCACACTGCTGGCTCATCTTCAGCCAAGAATCAACCAACACTCCCACATCCTTTTCCTCCACACAGTCTTCCAGCCACTCTGCCCTAAGCCTGTAGCACTGTAGCTAAAGTGCAGGACCCAGTGACATTTAGTCTTGTTGAACTTCATTTAATTGGCCTCAGCCTATCTAGATCCCTCTGTAAAGCCTTCCTACCCTCAATCATATGGATGCTTCCCCTCGCATTAGTGTCATCTGCAAACTTACTGAGGGTGCACTCATTACCCTCATCCAGATCATCAATAAAGATATTAAACTGGGCTGGCACCAATACCAGCCCCTGGGGAAAACTGCTCGTGACCAGTAGCCAGCTGGATTTAATTCCATTCACTACCACTCTCTGCATCTAGCCATTCAGACAGTTTTTTACATGGGCTGCCATCTTCTTCAAGAAAATGCTGCAGGAGACAGCGTCAAAAGCTTTGCTAAAGACTAGAGAGACTACACCCACAACCTTATCCACTAGGCAAGCCTCCTGTTCATAGAAGGAGATGAAATGGGTCAAGTAGGACCTGCCATTCATGACTCTATGCTGGCTAGGCCTGATCCCTTGGAAGACCCGAACATGCTGCATCATCACAGTCAAGATGATCTGCTTCATGACCTTCCCCAGTACCAAGGCCTTTAGTTGGCCAGATCCTCCTTCCAACCCTTCTTGTAGATGGACATCACATTAGCAGTTGTCTGGGACCTCCCTGGTTGACTAGGACCTTTTATAAATGGTGGAAAGCAGCTTGCTAATCACCTCTGCCAGCTCCCTCAAATAACAACAGGGTGGATCCCATCTGGCCCCATGGGCTTGTGACAGTGCTGGTGGAGTAGTATGTTGAAGAATTCTGGTATAGTTAGAACAGTTAAAGATAGTAGATCACATCTTTTCTCTATAGCACAGAGTTATTAGTTGGACTGGGTAGCCTGCCATAGATATTAAGGTGCAGAGACAGATGAGTGAGCTCTTTAGCAAGCACAGGTGGAGACTGGATAATCTGTTGGCTTCCACAGAAGCAAGGGGAGGGCAATTTCTCAGCCCATAAGGCTCATTAAACAGAGGAGGAAATGCTCTTTAGCTTACCGAAAATTTACTTCTGTACTCTCATATATACAATAAAATGAATGTAATAACTATCTCTGTGCGGTCTAGGAAACAAAGATTTAATTGAACCTTATGTAAGAGGCTTATTTCATTGTCTACTCTTTTTTCTCTCCTCCAATATTTTCATCTGCAGGTTATGTCAAAACTGTACCAGGTGAAAGTTTGACCTTCAAGTAGACAGTGTCAACAGAGGCTCCTTACAGTCTGTTATGGGCTTTGAGTTTCCAACAAATGTCCCCTTTCCCTGGTGTCAATGTTCAGGTGAAACCAAACAAGTACATGAACACGCCTCTATGAGGCCAACTCAACTTCTCCTAACTGTAATGGGAGAATCACTATTAACTTATTTGGACACTGGATAAAAGCAGTGAGAGAAATTGCAAGTCATCAGCATTCCTTGTGGAAGTGGGCTGGTAAAACTCTGAATGATTCTTCAAAAATTAGATTGAGTTTTTAAAAAGGCTTTAATACTGCTAACTAAAGGTCTTTGGCCACTACATTTTATCATTTTTAGCCATTAAAATATTTTATGGCAAATTTATACATGTTTAAGAAATACCATATGATTTTTAAGTGAGAACAAATCTTTCTTCTTTGGGTTCTGTAGGATTTTTCTTCTCTGTTACAGAAAAAATTAACCTTAATTTATGAAAAAATAGATAAGCTTAGTTCACCATTTTAAGGAGCTATTCTAGGAAATGATCCACCAAAATAACTTAAGGGATGGAACACCTCCCCTGAGAGGACAGGCTAAGAGATCTGGGGCTGTTCAACCCGTGGAAGAGAAGGCTCTGGGGAGACCTAATAGCAGCCTTTCTGTATCTAAAGGGGAGGATCTAAGAAAGAAGGGGACAGACTCTTCAGTAGCGTCTGTTGTGAAGGACAAGGGGAAATGGTTTCAAACTAAAAGAGGCGGAATTTAGACTGGATGTAAGAAAAACATTGTTTATGATAAGGCTAGTGAAGCACTGGAGCAGGTTGCCCAGAGAGGTGGTGGATACCCCGTCCCTGGAGGCACTCACAGTCAGGCTGGACGGGGCTCTTGATCCTGAACATGATCTCTCTGTGGGTGTCCCCGTTCATCACAGGGGAATTGGACTAGATGATCTTTAAAGGTTTTTTCTATGATTCTATATTTACTCCAAATGTCAGCATTAACAGTAAGATGAAACTCAAATTAAGATACAATTTGCACATATAATGATTGTAAACATACTGGTTCCAATGCTTTTTTTGTCAATTTGAAGGAATAGGATTTGGCTGGAGCCTGAAACACCCAAATTAGATTCCCAAATAGTAGGATCTGGGCTTGAGAGAAAACACAAGGATTCCACCAACTGACTCTTTACATTATTACACTGTAGGCTAATTTTAGTAGTTGCAGATAAACAGTTTATGTAATGTAAATAATCAGTTTATACTTAGCATTTAATTGCTATTGAAATGTAATTGGAGACTGTGGTTGTTTCCCCTAAATCAAGACAGTACTGGCTTGGATTCTGCATGTTTACAGAGCTGAAGGAGAGCGAGCTGCTGTTCTCTAAGACTTTGAAAAAGAAGTATCAAGTTTCACGTTGCACTTGTTTGTAAACAGCAAAATGAATCATGCATCAGTGCTACCAAAATTGTTAATATGCAGTTTGTTACCATTTGTTTACCTAAATAAAATAATTATTTGAGATTAGGTAAACGAATTGCTTTTGATCATTTTTTTCAGAACTAATAATGCATGATTCTTGTTTCTCACTATTTGGAAACTTGAAATATATGTTTAATGAACATTTCACAATTGAAAAACATCCAAAAGTACAAATAGATGTTCAGGTTAATACAGCAAATTTATTTTAACTAAGCTGTATACTTCAATTATTTTTAAGTTCTAACCTATAAAATTCTGTTTAAGGCAAAGCAGCTGTTGGAATGAATACATTTGCTTTAAAAAGGAGCTCTGAAAATGTTAATGAAAACAGTGAAACTTGAAACGAAGCTGGCATACGCAAGAGTTAATGTATGAAACTGTATTATTGGATACATTTTATTTAAAGAACACATGGTTTGATTTCTTTCTATTTATTCTAACATTCAAACTAAGTAAAACTCCAGGGAATTATTAGAGAGAGAAATTAAAACAACAGATGGACTTGTAGTTACGTGCATAAGGACATCTTTTCAAAAAGCCTCCTGACAATTTCAGATATTCCAAGTTATTCTATTTAATTTCAAATGAAGAATCTTTCTTTTTGTGCAGAGCTGTCAATCTCAGCAAACCCATAAGAAAATGATTTAAAAACATCATGAAATATATTTTTCCACTTGTATTTTTTGAAGTACTTTGACAATCAGCTTATAAAGTAGGTAGAAAAATGCATTCCATTTTTTAATGAATGCAAAACATGAGCATTCAGATCTTTCAAACTGAGTAGGCTACAGTGCTTATCCAGGAATGATTTCTTTGCAATCAAGCACATTGACATAGTCTTTGAAAACAAAATATCAAATTTTCCAGTGGTCTCTCTACTCTTAGAATTAGAAAAAGAAGTTTTTGGAGGGTGGTCATTCCTTTATCAGATCAAACCTCCCCAGGTGTCTGTAACATTGGATTTGCACCCTTACTGCAATGTTAGAAGATAATGAAATAATTCATGAATTTCAGGGAAACAGAACTGTTATTGCTGTACCTTTTAATTGTTTGGCCTTCTGCCACTTGTTTTCAGCCATCACTATTAATTCAGAGAGAGGAACAGAAAAGGTAAAAAAAAAAATAAAAAAATCTCTGTCAGTTTTCCTTAGTAGCTTGACTTTCTACATGATGTACAGGAACGTTTTGAAGCTTTGTGGCAGAGCTGTTTAAATATCACTCAGCTTGTAGGAAATAGATGAATTAGAACAACAAATGCCACCGAACAGCTAATCACAGCAAGGTCAGCTACCTCCATTTATCTACCTCCGTTGGTCTTGATACAAAGATTTAGAAAAATAGATAGGCAATACTTACAAACCTGTGAAACTAGCAAAGGCAGTTCCAAAGCAGGTACAGCACTCCTGTTTGAATAGGTTGGAATGGAGCTAGTCAGTGTACAGAAAAGATATTGCTGCAAGAGTCACCACGTATGCTTTAATGTTCCTCTTTGATGACGTCATAGCCAGATCAAAGCTCATTTGTATTGCGCTGTCACAGAGCATGGAGCAGTGCTTTCCAATTTACATAATGTCTTCTTGCATCTCTGCCTACAGGTAACTTACTAGCACTGAAGAATTCCTTAATTAGCTCTTTAAACGGAGTTGGGCTTCATGCAAAGGGTACTCAAGCTTCTTCAAGTTTCTTTTCAATATGCAGGTAGATAAATATATATTCTCTGATCTTTATGTTCTTTTGTGTTTTTTGTTTTTTGTTTTTTTCCAGTAAATGTAACAGACTGGCTTTCCAAGTTGTTTCTTTGTTGTTGTTGTTGTTTGTTTTTAGTACTTCTGGAATGGATATTCACTACTTAGTATTTGGGATCACACCAGTGAAAACTCAGATGAATTCAGTCTTTATAGATGTGTTCCTGTTCTTTGAGATTACTCAGAACCACATAGAAAAGCTAGTTCTGGTTGTTAAGAATGTTGCTGCTTCAATAAGTGATTTTTATGAAGGCAGCAAGTACTGGGGCTGCAGAATCATGGCAATGGGAAGGAAACAACTTCTTTACATCTATTATTTCACCTAATTTATAGTAATGCAGTATTCAAATTTGAAGCATGATTTTGAATGGGGTGCTTATAAACCAGAATTACAACTAAGAAAGTTTCAAAAAGACAGTTTTTATTAATAAATAACATTTTCCAATCTTTTTTGTCTGTTAGCGCCCAATGTTGACGGTGCTTTTCAAAGCAAATAATTTTTGAGAAACACAATGAAAAATTAAATGAAAAAAATTGCAAGTAGAATTTGAGCAAAACTGTATTTTATTGCTAATAGATACTCAATTCATTTTTAAATGCTTTCTCATGAGGTTTAGTACTCTCTGGCAAGAAAATAAGCTAACGTTCTTTAAATCGTAAATGAGGCTTCAAAAATTAGATGGCATATCTAAAAGTTGTGTCAATTTACTACAACATTTAATATTTATAGTCACTTTTATTCTAATGGGATAGAGCTGTTTTATTTTTATTGTAGATTTTCACAGCTTGGTGGTAGCATAGCTAATTGAGCATGCAGGGCCAATGCATTGACCCATTCACAAAATGCTTTTCTGAGATTTACAGCCATCACAATGCAGCAAAAATTTGCTGATTTACATAAGAAACTTCCAGCACAAAGAAACATGAAATTGTTCAATTGATGACTACTACTGATATCTTTATTTATTCTTTCCCATTGCCAAAGTGAAGTAAGTGACTAACGTATAGCAGCCCAGTTGTTGTTAACAGTACGATCTTTGGAAACATTCTGCAAGTGATACAGTTTTAGCTTCAACTTTCTATCATAACAAGTATAAAAATGTTTTGAGTCTTCTGTTTGTAAATCCAGTTACACCAATATTATCACCAATTTTATTTGGACTATGACCATGTTAAGTCTCATTCAGATCTTATGTACCTATAGATACAGCATTAGATCATTTTTCAATAGTCTCCTGAAGTTTGTCCTAAATTAAGACCAAAGCCTGAATTCACATCCAGTCATGATCTTTAAAAATTATGCAATTGAAAGACTCCTCCAGTCTTCAGTAGATGTTTGCATTGGTCCCTTTATATCAGTATACTTTCAGAATTAGTCCTGTAATTAATTCTGTATTGAAGTGGATTGCATATCTGTTTCAGCAGTGCTGGGGAAAAAAAAAGTTCACTCTTATTACAGCTGCTGGAAGTTTTCTTATTAATGAGTTCAAAATTTGATACCTGGAATATGAAGAAATTTTTGCATGCTGTATTGAGCTGTACTGTTTGTTCCTTTTGAGATAGGCAGACAGCCTTTTAGGACTTAATTGCTAAAGTGTGCCACATAGTAGAATTTTTTTGTCCAGCCTCTCCTGTTTGAGAAAACAGCTCAAGCTTTGTGTTCCAGAGTAATCTTGTGTCTCACTGAATTACACTCTTTGTGAGAAATGATTGATCTTTTTTAGTTCCAGATCTCCTCTGGCACAAATCACTAATCAGACTTATAGGTCAGAGAAATCAGTCCTATCTCACTGTTCTATTGAAATGATCAGTAAATTAGTAGGATGGGCCATATAAACATGCCTAGCAATGTTAATAAAGCTGGAAAACAGGTTGTGTTCCAGGAAAACGCCCATGCGGAAGCGTGGTTGGAAAGGAGGAGTTCTGAGACTTCGTTCTCAAGGACAATGAAACTGTAAGCAGTTGTTGTATAGGCACTCTAGAAACGCTTTGGTTTCTTTGTGATATAGAAACCAAAAGACAGAGAGGTCTGGGTTTCTTTTATCATGGAAGCTGAAAATCTTTCTGTACACTTGGGTAAAATTACCTGAAAAAGAAAGAGTAGCATTTGAATAAAAAACCATAGCCATGTAGTTATTAGTAAGAAAAGTATCACACATAGGAGGAAATTCTTGAGGGAAAAGAAGCAAGCAGAGTTCATAGCTGTTCACAAGCCAGAGTTTGGAATTGGAGTTCTTGAAATTAGAGGACTTCAGCTGCAAGGCACCATCAAGAGACAGTGTTGAGAGAAGCAGAGCTGGATCTCATTTTGGACTTGGCCTTGGGAGGACTGTAAGTTTTGATAGTTTTAGTAACAGCCTGCAACCTAGCACTGGGGAGAAAGGAACAGGCAGCTTCCAGAGCTCTATGCAAGGTTTTGCTTTGCATGTTGTACCGTGATAAGCAGCGAGATGCGAGCTCAAAGCTTAGTTTTGTATAAAATGAGGACAAAGCATAGCATTTCCACTGAAGTCAGTGATCCCACAGTACATAGAACACAGTATACAACCTTCAATTCTGTCTCCTCATTATAACATTTCAACTATTTTGTAAGGTGTAAAGATGTACAGAATGAATTGCTGATTTATTTTTAAGACCCTAAAGCGGAATCAACAAAGTACAAAAAGAACCAAATCCAAATGCAGGCACTGATAGCTTAAAAAGATTGGTTTTGTAGTCCATACAGAATGCTGCAGCTGCCTGTAGGAAGGATGTGAGGAAAATATTTCTAAGTAGGTTGAGAACATTTGGGCTTAGTAGAAATTCATGAAAAAAAGTCTGACAACAAATGCCTGGCAATAAAATAGTCCACAGGCTTTTTTTACTAAATCATCTTTTGTGTATAATTTCTCTTGTAAAACATGATGAGCTTTCCTCTATAGAAAGGCTGTGCCAGCTAGATAATAGCTAGAGGTCTCTCCTCCTTTTTCTCTCTGCAGAAGCCAAAACACCCTGGAGTCTCACATATCAAGACAGTATCACCTTTGTGGGGCCGGAGGATGAACAGACTAAGTCTCATTATTTTGCCAAGATATACACAATACTGCTGAAAAGTATATAATAACTTAGAAAACTATTAACACAAAGTTTATGGCAGTCATAGACTCAGACATTTCTAGGTCAGTGTAAGATTTCTGCTGTCAAGAGTTCCCAAGCCTCTAGATGATGCTGTAAAGAAAGATTCACTCACTGTACTTGAACGGAGAGTGAGAGAGAGAGTACTTTAGCCTATTTCTTTGCTTGCTTGGTTCCTTATCTGTTTTCTGAAAGCTGCTGGAAAGCAACAGAGATTTAGCTGCCAGGTCTGAACTGCAGGGGTGGAATTGGCAGTAGTAAAAGCAAAAAGATTCAGCAAATAAAAGATAATATAGATCGTCTCCTGTTGTGCCTGTTTTCAAATTACTGTGTTTAAATGAACTTCTTGTTCTGCAAGCTGTCTTTAGTCTCTCGCTCACTGGCCTCCAATGACCTTTCTCTGATTTTCTTTTTCCTTTATAGTCTCATGGCATTGCAAACTTTTATCTGCCTTGCTGTAACTTAAATATGGATAAATTCAACACATACTTTTAATCTTATGGGAAGCCTCATCTCAATCTGTAGATGTTTAGGCAGTGGAATAGAATATAAGCTAATGCTTTGTGCAATAACTACTACATGATTTTTTGCCTTGTGAGTATATGTAGGTTGCTCCAAAAGTAATATCTCCTATTTATTTTGGTGGATACTACAACAGATACAAAGAACACAACATAACTATTTGAAAGACCAAATTCTCGGCTTTAAAACACTATTTTTCAACATAGTCACCACCATTAGATATGCATTTTTGACAGCCAAGAACAAGAGTCCAAGTGCTACATGGCTTGTGTCCTTCACGTTGCTGTCTCCACTGCTGAAATGCACCACCCTCTGCCTCACCATGTTGACATCCACTGTTTGGTCTCTGCAGATGTTCAGCAAGCACAGTGTTTATATCCTCTCTCTCTCTTTCGTCAGTACTTACATAAGGACTAAAAAAAAAAATCCTGATCAGATTCAGTGGGAAAGATTATTTTTCTTATTTCTGTAAATAACATTACCCTAACATAAGCATTTTTCACCTAAATTTTGATGTTATTCCATGTGATATTTTTCTTAAACATTTTTTTGTCAGATGCAATTAAAAAGAAAAAAAAAACAACGACAATAATAATGTGTAACAGAAGAAAAGTGCTCTGGAGTTGCTTGGTTTTATTTTCAGTTTAGTTTTTCTTCCCTCTCCCCTTTTTCTTGTTTTCATTACTTTACAAGTTTCAGGGCAGCTCCTGGAGGTTTTTGAGAAGCGTGCGTACCGCTGGCAGAGTGGTGTGTTTGGGACTGTGTTCATCTTAACCCCTCTGTGCCAAAATGGGTGAGAAAGGGAGAACTGTCTGTTGTGATTCATCATGTCATTTCCCTGCTCAAACAGCTTTAGTAGTCTAACGTTATCTACTAAAAGGGAAAGGTTATCCAGGACTCCCTGGTTCCGTGCTGTTCAGTGACTAAGTAATACTCAACATTGTTTCAGATAGGAAGCAATACTAACAAGTCAAAAGAGGAGGATAACAGGCTACAGTTGCTGAATGGTGATCTAGAGCAAGTAACTGTTGAAAGGTAGAGCAGAGGATCAAGGGTCAAGAGCCTCGTGTATTATCCTTTTTGTCACCACGTCATCAAGGAGGACTGTCAG